TATCCCAGTTTATTGCCCCACCCTCCTATTTCTCTGTTGCAGTCTATGTATCTCCCAGTTTATTGCCACATCCTCCTATTTCTCTGTTGCAGAATATGTATATCCAAGTTTATTGCCCCATCCTCGTATTCCCCTGTTGCGCTTTATGAATCCTCCACATTTTTGCCATGCCCTTTTATTTCTCTGTTGCAGTCTATGTATATCCCAGTTTATTGCCCCACCTTCCTATTTCTCTGTTGCAGTCTATGTATCTCCCAGTTTATTGCCCCACCTTCCTATTTCCCTATTGCAGTCTATGTATCTCCCAGTTTATTGCCCCACCCTCCTATTTCCCTGTTGCAGTCTATGTATATCCCAGTTTATTGCCCCACCTTCCTACTTCTCTGTTGCAGTTTATGTATCTCCCAGTTTATTGTCCCACCTTCCTATTTCCCTATTGCAGTCTATGTATCTCCCAGTTTATTGCCCCACCTTCCTATTTCCCTGTTGCAGTCTATGTATCTCCAAGTTTATTGTCCCATCCTCCGATTTCCCTGTTGCAGTATATGTATATCCCAGTTTATTGCCCCACCCTCCTATTTCCCTGTTGCAGTATATGTATATCCCAGTTTATTGTCCCATCCTCGTATTCTCTTGTTGCGCTTTATGAAACCTCCAGATTTTTGCCATGCCCTTCTATTTCTTTGTTGCAGTCTATGTATCTCCCAGTTTATTGCCCTACCTTCTTATTTCCCTGTTGCAGTCTATGTATCTCCCAGTTTATTGCCCAACCTTCCTATTTCCCTGTTGCAGTCTATGTATCTCTCAGTTTATTGCCCCACCTTTCTATTTCTCTGTTGCAGTCTATGTATCTCCCAGTTTATTGCCCCAACTTCCTATTTCTCTGTTGCAGTATATGTATATCCCAGTTTATTGCCCCAACCTCCAATTTCCCTGTTGCGCTTTATCTTCATGAATCCCCCAGATTATTGCCATGCCCTCCTATTTCTCTGTTGCAGTCTATGTATCTCCCCGTTTATTGCTCCACCCTCCTATTTCCCTGTTGCAGTCTATGTATCTCCCAGTTTATTGCTCCACCTTCCTATTTCCCTGTTGCAGTATATGTTTATCCCAGGTTATTGCCCCGCCTTCCTATTTCCCTGTTGCAGTCTATGTATCTCCAAGTTTATTGCCCCACCTTCCTATTTCCCTGTTGCAGTCTATGTATCTCCAAGTTTATTGTCTCACCTTCTTATTTCTCTGTTGCAGCCTATGTATCTCCCAGTTTATTGCCCCACCTTTCTATTTTTCTGTTGCAGTCTATGTATCTCCCAGTTTATTGATCCACCTTCCTATTTCTCTGTTGCAGTCTATGTATCTCCCAGTTTATTGCCCCACCCTCCTATTTCCCTTATGCAGTCTATGTATCTCCCAGTTTATTGCCCCACCCTCCTATTTCCCTTATGCAGTCTATGTATCTCCCAGTTTATTGCCCCACCTTCCTATTTCCCTGTTGCAGTTTATGTATCTCCAAGTTTATTGCCTCACCTTCCTATTTCTCTGTTGCAGCCTATGTATCTCCCAGTTTATTGACCCACCTTTCTATTTCTCTGTTGCAGTCTATGTATCTCCCAGTTTACTGATCCACCTTCCTATTTCTCTGTTGCAGTCTATGTATCTCCCAGTTTATTGCCCCACCCTCCTATTTCCCTGTTGCAGTCTATGTATCTCCCAGTTTATTGCCCCACCTTCCTATTTCCCTGTTGGAGTCTATGTATCTCCCAGTTTATTGCCCCACCATCCTATTTCTCTGTTGCAGTCTATGTATCTCCCAGTTTATTGCCACATCCTCCTATTTCTCTGTTGCAAAATATGTATATCCCAGTTTATTGCCCCATCCTCGTATTCCCCTGTTGCGCTTTATGAATTCTCCACATTTTTGCCATGCCCTTCTATTTCTCTGTTGCAGTCTATGTATATCCCAGTTTATTGCCCAAACTTCCTATTTCTCTGTTGCAGTATATGTATATCCCAGTTTATTGTCCAATCCTCCTATTTCCCTGTTGCGCTTTATCTTGATGAATCCTCCAGATTATTATACCATCCTCCGATTTCCTTGTTGCAGTCTATGTATCTCCCAGTTTATTGCCCCCACCTTCCTATTTCCCTGTTGCAGTCTATGTATATCCCAGTTTATTGCCCCACCTTCCTATTCCCCTGTTGCAGTCTATGTATCTCCCAGTTAATGCCCCACCTTTCCTATTTCTCTTTCGCGCTTTATGAATCCTCCAGTTTATTGCCTAACCTTATTATTTCCCTGTTGCAGTATATGAATCCCACTGTATATTGTTAAATGATTCCTTCCTCCATGCAAATAATTTTTTCCCAATAAATTTAGTAAATTGTTATACATTTACAAACAGTTTCATATGTATAAGTATTTCAATATACATAGTTCACTTAATTTCCAACCGATCTTGGAAGAAATTTCTCTCTCAAATAAATCAAGAAAATGTAATACATTAACAAAACTCTATGATGCAACAGGAACCGGTATCAAACATTCCTTCGGTCCCTGGAAGCGATAAAAATACGATCTCCTGGGACCCCTGGAACCGGTATATAATCATGATTTATTTAAATGGCCTGGGTCGTTATATTGGAATTTTAATGTTTTGGGTACCTGAGCTACAGGAACCGGTATCAAACATTCCTTCGGTTCCAGGAAGCGAAAACAATCCTATTTCTTTGGACCCCTGGAACCGGTATATAATCATGTTTTATTTAAGAAATAATTCATGCAAGCCATAGATTTGTTGAAAATTTTCACATGGACTGGGTCGTTATATTGGAATTTTATCCCGAGCGTAAGCAAGGGATAAAATTAACGAATATAACGACCCAGGCCATGTGAAAATGAAAACAAATCCATGGAATGCATGAATTATTTTGATTCTAATATGGTAAAGTTTCCCACTGAAAACTCTGACGCCATTTCATTAAAATATGGCGTTTTAGTGCACAAATCGCATTGTGACGTGGTCGATTTATAGTGGTAGTGAATTATTGAGTATTTTATTATGGCTATATTCATATGACGTAATAAGCACCCCATATTACAATTTATTTAAGAAAGCAAATTAATTGTAAACACCTATTAAGTCTGACGCCATTTCCAGATTTCAGTAAAATATGACGGTTTTGTGCACAAATCGCATTGTTTATTGAGTATTTTATTATGGCTCTATTCATAATTCCAATCTTATTTGCAAATATCACATAATAATCTGATTTCATGAGTGGAATCCGTTTCGAGTGACTGAAATTGAAAAGGTTAACATATCGATTATTCTGTCTACTGCACAACGAAACAAAAATCATGGTGACAAAGCAACTCGCCTCCTAAAAATTGTGCGTTCATGTTACTACAAATAGTTGACCTTTGCGTTGACATTCTTTAGATTTACATCCAATATTTTGAATGGTGAAAAATTCAAAATGTTATATTGACATCAGTTCATGTTTAAGATACTTTTGATACCTTTCCTGAAATTCTCCAGTCATAAAATCTTTTACAAAAATTCACCCTACAACAGTTTACATACTTTTAACCACGCTCTAAATTTTATATTTTTAAATTGTCCTGGAGTGTCCTTTTATTTTATGTTCTTGAAATGTCATGTTTCAAAGGTACATCTTCGATTGCATTTTATTGATAAAAATCCTTATTTCATCAAAAAAACATTCGATTTACATAAGGGTTTATAGTTGAGGTTTTATATTTGAGGACAGCGAGAATTTACGATGTAGGGTTCACAGAGAGATTTTCTTCATATCTTTATACTCATCTAAACTTTGACTATCATGCTTTTAATGTTATCAAAAAATAAAAACTTTATTTCTTTCATATAAGAAAATTTGAATATCGAATCGACTGCTAGCATCCGTTTGGATATTGAATATCGAATAACGAACCGGCCGCCAACTTGACAAACATAAAAAATTTAAAGAATACAAAAATGACCACCATCTCCATCAACTCTCGAATAATCAAATCACTGAATCTCGTTTCTATGGACACCTTGATTACTTCAAAATTGAATTTTTTTTCACCATTGGTACCAAATGGGAACACGTGGGACGTATGTCTCATTCGAATCTTACTTGTCTCTCCAAACTTTGGACTGGAGGTCATATATTGCCCATGCTAGACTTAAAGATGAATCACGGCCGTAAATCAAAATGACGGACTTGTGTATACAATGTACAATAAAAAACGAATAATACAAAGAACTATATATAAGAGGGTCGACTTGAATGGGTATTACAGAATAGAGAAAAATTAATAAAAAAAATTAGAATAAAGGGCAACAAATATGAAGAATTAATAGAGAAAAATAGGCCAAAAAAAAAAACAGAATATAGAATAATTAAATAGGGTGCTGAAATATAAAGAATAGAGAAAAACAGCCAAAATTTATAAAGAATACAGAAGAATGGCCCAAATAATAAAGAATACAGAAATGAAGGACCCCCTCCCCCTCCAGACCCTCTTATATAAGGATTGTAAACAGTTGCTACTCTTTTGATTTTATTCAGTTGGGCGGTGAAATATTCATCAAAAACGATATTCTCGCATCGTTGAATATATTTCAGGATGATATCTTCAGAAGTGATTTAGCAGGAGTATCTTCGTCGGTTAAGATGCATATGACATCGTGGAAACCATACAATCAATCGAGTGAACTTTTTATCGGGAAATATTTATTAAGTGCAGCACTTGTGCACGACAGAGTGAAATGTGTGTACATGCCTACTCGAACAAAACTTGGTTCAGTTGAGGTACACGGTATGATTCCATCTGGGAAATATAAAAGGTATGCAGATGCAATAGTAGAATTCAGAAGAAAGTTGAATCTGAAGCATTATTTTTTTATGGTGGAGAGTGACATGTTTCTACATCAAGTCTGATTTAAAAAGAAAATATGGATCAAATGAGATTCATGATTTTAGCGCATCTGGGTCAATATCCCTAATGGACCTTGAGATGAGGAACACAGATTTATGACTCTCATTAAAAATTTAGTCCGCCATACAATTGTAGAAGCTGTGATTTAAAAAATTGACATAAATGAACTAGGACTGGTGTTTTATAGCGCTGATGTGATGTGAAAAAAAGTATAAAAAAATAAACCTGAACAAATAATTACAAAGGATATATTTTTTAATGATTTTTATGGTCAGAATTTTGTGATTATTTCCTGAGGAGAGTGACATTTTTCACTATCTTTCGGGGTTGGGCACTTGACGGGAAAACGAATCACACTTGCCACCCCGAAAATCGCACCACACATGTGCAAGTGTCTCAGCTTCAAAATGAGCCATCATACATATCCAAGTTTACGATATGGCCTGAGCAACAGAAGAAAACGTTAACATTACCGCCTATGGAGAATCTATTACGCATATTGCCCCAATTTGTGGCCTTGAATTTCAAAGGTGATGGAGTGTTTCATGGCTCAGTGACCACAATTTAGGATGATAGCTGCTGAAATCAAGGTCAGTTACACTCTTTTAGTGCTAATTAATCAAAACAATACAAAATGGCTACCCAAACTTTTGATTTTTATCAAAAATATACTAATTTTTTGTTGTTAAATAGCATTGATGCAGAAAATGGGTCATGTAAAATCTGGACAGGGGCCATTCAGAGGAAAAGAAATTATATTTTAGGGATGCTAAATGTGGCTTATCCAAATGGAAAAAGGACAAAAATGAATGTTGCACGCTTGGCAAAAATGTTACAGTTAAAAACAGTTGACATTGATAGAAATTTAGATGCCTCGCACCTCTGCCATAATGCCTTGTGCGTTAATGCTGACCATATAATTTTTGAGCCCCATGATTTAAATAACCACCGTAAGGTCTGTGTAACTTCACAAAAATGCACCACTCATGAACTGCATGGCACAACATATCCTAACTGCTTGTTGCATCTTAAACTGTGGTTTGTTCTATTTTTAATTCTAAAATTTAAGTCTCCGAGGTAACATATTGCACACTTCACTATGCATGAATCATTTACTCAAATACAAGTTTCTTACACTGCTAAAAAAATGAAAATGGGATAAAAGCCCTCCCTCTCACCCTCCAAGACACTGAAACAAACATGCATGTTTATATTAACCTGAGGTAACACATTTTACGGCTTGTTTCACGAGTGTTTACCTTTTATTGACATAGGAGGGGGAGTAACTCTTGTTGTTTACAAATGTATTTTTAACTGTGTCAGGAAATTGGGACATTCAAACCACATGAACCAACTAAAGACTAAAGTAAGCATGCTTTAAAAGAAATCTTCAAAATAAAAACCAAACAAATCAAACAAAAACTACAAAATTATAAAATTAGGATATCAAAAGTAAAATTAAAAGCTAACAGAACTGAAATAATTGCAAATGGAAGTAAATATGGACATGATTTTATTTTATTTTATTTCCTTGTATGTTGTATCAATGAATGTGTGCATGATAGGAAAAATAATTTTTTATGCAATACATGTGTGTTAACCCTCTTAATGCCAAAGCGACATATATGTCGTTTCAGTGTTGATGCCAAAGCGACATATAAGTCGTTTGGGGGTTTGATGCCAAGGCGACATATATGTCGTTTCAGCAATATTACAATAAGTATATATTATAAATCAAAACTTTGCAACCTATACTACACTAAATAATTAATGCGTTATAACATTGTTGACCATCAGTCATCTAAGTGTATTTTGGAGCAATGACGTAATATCCATGACGTCATTGTGACATTATAATTATGGCACAAGTAAATTGAGTTTTCTTTCTCTGAAAAAAAACCCGTCTTCCAGCGGCAAACGACAACGTTGGTTTTTATATTTGCATGCACGCACATGACACTGATGCTGACGATTTAAAGATCGACATAAGAGCTGGAAACACAAGATAATTGAACAACAAGACCGGGCCGCCCTTTTTTTGGCATTGTAACTTACCAGACTAACATAATATAAAACACTTTATTAACCGCATATCCGACATATTCGTCAGGCTGTGTGTTGAAAAGTACTTTAGAAAGTTTCGCACATTACGTATGTTCGAATAGTAATGTTTATGTGTTTACCCTCTCAGTCCGAAACGGGAAATCGGTCCACCCATGACAGAATCATGGCCCAAGAGAACGCACAGTTAGGACTCGCTAAATATCAAAAGAATATTGAGATTTGGAGTTATGAAAATTTAGAAAAACACTAATTTTAAACATGGAACTCAACAGAAATTCCCTAACATTGTCGATAAAATACACACTGCCAATGCCTACAGTTTCTTATCTAAATTGAGTTTCTTTTACCCAAATGGTGTTTGACTGATAAGCGACAAATACTTTACTTTAATTTGATAAACAAAATTTCGTATTTATTAGTTTTCGATAATTGAAATTTAACCATGTTTTTAACTCCTTTTGATGTTTCAAAGTGTTCTTTATTATTGCTAGCTGAGTTCCTGTCGTGAAGGAGGAAAGGTTTAATTCCATTTTTTACAAACATATATTTCGTGAACTTCGACTGTATTATTTGTGTGAACACCGCAGGAAAAATATTTTACAAACATTTTAGAATGAAATCGTGTCATTAAACATTATATGGTGCATTATTGACGGACAATTTCAGTCGGCTTCACATAGTTGATAGACGAAATATTTAATTCAAATTTTAAGTAAAGCTATTTTAAAACTGAATTTACGATTAATTAATTGCATGTCATTTAGTTCAGCGACCAATATTTTATACTTATAATATAAAAATAAGGGAATGTGGTATAACTGCAAATGAGACAACAATAAACCAAAGTTGAAAAGAAGTGGATGTCAGCAGTATTGCAGGCAACCGTACGGCCTTCAACGATGAGAAAAACAATACCACTAGTCGCCTATAGAAGGCCCCGAAATGAAAAATGTGAAATAATTCAATTGAGAAAATTAATGACCTAATTCATAATACTACATAAGGTCTTATTAAATATAGACTAGACTGTAGTGAAAAACCTCATCTCTAATACTATATGGCTTATTCATACTCATGTTCAAGTATAACACACAACTTTGTAATCATTTATTGAAAAAAAAATGAAAGTTACTGAATGTTTTTGACATTATTTTGGTATTTTTAGCCATGCATGCACCATCTGTATCCAGCTTGAAATTTTAAAGCCTGAGGGACCAGTATTTTTTATTTGAAGTCTGACTTTTCCGGATTTAACAGAAGCTAGGGATTTGAATTTCACTAAACAGATACCACAGACCTGGTCATGAAATATTCATAAATAAATTATAGAGAATAAACTGATGAAACAATATGTTCTCCGAGTGTTCGAAATTAATTTTTGTAATTTAACTTAAAAGGATCTTGTCGATAATCGTACTTCTCTGTGCGATGATTCACATTAAAAAATACAAAATGAACACCCAATGTCTATGCATTCGTTAGAAGAGAACACGAAAAGATATATAAGAGGAGACACCCTCTACTGGCACAATTTTTTTTACACAAAACCAGCAGCGGTTATTACGGCCTCTAAAATCTGGAACTATGTTTAACCTTTTGATTCGGTCAATGATGTAAAATATACCATTTAGAAATGATATAAGTTGTTTTGCAGGTGAAGAATACAAGGAGTATGGGTACTAAAATTATTTTCGATAATAGTTACGCACGGGCAATGTACGGGCAATACTTTCTTTCATACTGTTTTTTATTTGCTGTATGTTTTTGAAATTGAGGTTGTTCTACAGAAATTTACACAAAAGGAATCTTGTTACCTTCAATACCCCATCTCCAGGATAAAAAGAAGTGGTTTAGGCCTACATCAAAAGACACAATAAATTAAAAAAAATCATGACAAACAGAGGTCGACAAACATTCAATACGCAATCACATCTATATAACTTCATATATTTAATAGTCCCGTGTCGAGACAAGTTAAGATAAATTTAAGCCCGTCTTCTGAATTTATCCCTAAACATTAAATGCAAGAAACAAATGTTCTTACATGTAATATAAAAAAAAGACCACTGCTCACATGGTTTATGTATAGAGACAGCACAGGACAATGTTGCTAGGTTAAAATATCACGACATTACTCGCCTTCTTTTTTATCGGTAATTGTTAAATCAAAATGTTACTTATAGAAAAATAAAAGTTCTTGAACATGGGGAAAACGATTATAACTGACCTTTCATTAACCTTTTAGAAGAAATTATGTACAACTCCTTTTTATACAGTGGCCGAGAAGTATTTTTCACGAACAACTTTTGGTTATATATTACATTTTTTTAAATATAAATTTTATAAAGTTATTTCTAATTGGATTTCAATCAACTAATAGAAAAAAATTATCACAAATCTAATATGTTTATAAGTAATATTTATCCTTGGACAATTATCTTTTACTGGTGATATAAACAATAATTTTTCATCCCGAAGTTTGTCATATATTTTACCCAAATTAGTTTGCAAAATATTAATATCAATGTTCACATCAGTAGAAAACAAAAACAATCGAAGATAAAACCCTAAAATATCTTTTTAAAAACTGTTATGATATGAAAATATATAGCCAAAATTGTAGGTGGCAAATACGTATTGCATAATACTTTACAATATTCCCTTGCAATTAAAAAAAGAACTTTTAATAATTGGTCTTGCGTTTTAGAGAATTATATCAGTCGAAAATTTAAATGGTTAAAGTAATTAACACGTAAATTGCACAAATTCAACAGTATTTTCAAATATTTATCAGTTAACTTTACATTCTTGAGTCTCCTTGGTCCATCAAGAAGCAAATTTGTATAGAAAGATTTTAATCGGTCAATTTAGCATTATCAAAATGATCTCCTGGTCACCGCTATTGTGAATGCCGGTCGCGTAGAAAAAACAACTTTATAAATCAATATGAGAAAAAAAAACGCCAAAAAGACGACGCCAAAAGAATTTGGTACTGGCGACGTCAAATTGTCATTGCCCATACACCTTATCGCTAATCCCGCATGACCCGAGAATCAGTCCCGCTCGAACTTTTGACGTCATACAACAATCACTTTTCCATTGTGGCGTCAGATATTTTCTATTATGACGTCATAATTTTACGGGAACTTCTGTGATGTCTAGTAATGGCGGACAAATAGCGATAAGGTGTATTGGCAACGTCGAAACGTTGATTTTTTTAATGTGGCATCAAGAGGGTTAATTTGCATGTATGATGCTGTGTGTGGTATGTTTCAATGTCAATACACTCTGTAAGATGTGTACAAACTAAATTATGATGTCATAATGCAATGACGTCACAAAAACAATGACGTCACAATGTACTCTTCACCATTTTTCCCACTTTCAACACACATACAAAAAAACCTCTAAAATTCTTATTACTTGATGGATTTTGAAAACAAGACTAGTTTTGGAAAGGCATGTGACTAATCTTTACAGTAATGAACATATATTAGAGATATTTATTCAATAAAAAAAAAATATAATAGAAAACAAGACTATCAGGGTGGAAAAATTTCTTAAATCTGATAGTTTTTAAGTGAAAAACACTATATTTACATGATTTATCAACAAAATATGAGGATTTGTAGAAAGTCTGTAAGGTAGAAGAGGCTTATGAATTGCAGTTATACCAATAAAAGTTAAAACAAATGTTTAAAATGTAAATTTATAAGATATGCTTATTGTGTTTTTTTCTTCCTTAAAAAGGACATAGAACAGTTATAAACATTGCTACCTAAAAGTATTAAAATGAGCTTATTTTATTTCAGATATGGCTAAAACTTCACAGAATTGTTAAGAAATGTGTACTAAAGGGATACAAACTGCAATATAAGTGGAATCTGACATTAGCTGATCTAATATGGGTCAATATCCCTAATGGACCTTGAGATGAGGAACACAGATTTATGACTCTCATTAAAAATTTAGTCCGCCATACAATTGTAGAAGCTGTGATTTAAAAAATTGACATAAATGAACTAGGACTGGTGTTTTATAGCGCTGATGTGATGTGAAAAAAAGTATAAAAAAATAAACCTGAACAAATAATTACAAAGGATATATTTTTTAATGATTTTTATGGTCAGAATTTTGTGATTATTTCCTGAGGAGAGTGACATTTTTCACTATCTTTCGGGGTTGGGCACTTGACGGGAAAACGAATCACACTTGCCACCCCGAAAATCGCACCACACATGTGCAAGTGTCTCAGCTTCAAAATGAGCCATCATACATATCCAAGTTTACGATATGGCCTGAGCAACAGAAGAAAACGTTAACATTACCGCCTATGGAGAATCTATTACGCATATTGCCCCAATTTGTGGCCTTGAATTTCAAAGGTGATGGAGTGTTTCATGGCTCAGTGACCACAATTTAGGATGATAGCTGCTGAAATCAAGGTCAGTTACACTCTTTTAGTGCTAATTAATCAAAACAATACAAAATGGCTTCCCAAACTTTTGATTTTTATCAAAAATATACTAATTTTTTGTTGTTAAATAGCATTGATGCAGAAAATGGGTCATGTAAAATCTGGACAGGGGCCATTCAGAGGAAAAGAAATTATATTTTAGGGATGCTAAATGTGGCTTATCCAAATGGAAAAAGGACAAAAATGAATGTTGCACGCTTGGCAAAAATGTTACAGTTAAAAACAGTTGACATTGATAGAAATTTAGATGCCTCGCACCTCTGCCATAATGCCTTGTGCGTTAATGCTGACCATATAATTTTTGAGCCCCATGATTTAAATAACCACCGTAAGGTCTGTGTAACTTCACAAAAATGCACCACTCATGAACTGCATGGCACAACATATCCTAACTGCTTGTTGCATCTTAAACTGTGGTTTGTTCTATTTTTAATTCTAAAATTTAAGTCTCCGAGGTAACATATTGCACACTTCACTATGCATGAATCATTTACTCAAATACAAGTTTCTTACACTGCTAAAAAAAATGAAAATGGGATAAAAGCCCTCCCTCTCACCCTCCAAGACACTGAAACAAACATGCATGTTTATATTAACCTGAGGTAACACATTTTACGGCTTGTTTCACGAGTGTTTACCTTTTATTGACATAGGAGGGGGAGTAACTCTTGTTGTTTACAAATGTATTTTTAACTGTGTCAGGAAATTGGGACATTCAAACCACATGAACCAACTAAAGACTAAAGTAAGCATGCTTTAAAAGAAATCTTCAAAATAAAAACCAAACAAATCAAACAAAAACTACAAAATTATAAAATTAGGATATCAAAAGTAAAATTAAAAGCTAACAGAACTGAAATAGTTGCAAATGGAAGTAAAATTGGACATGATTTTATTTTATTTTATTTCCTTGTATGTTGTATCAATGAATGTGTGCATGATAGGAAAAATAATTTTTTATGCAATACATGTGTGTTAACCCTCTTAATGCCAAAGCGACATATATGTCGTTTCAGTGTTGATGCCAAAGCGACATATAAGTCGTTTGGGGGTTTGATGCCAAGGCGACATATATGTCGTTTCAGCAATATTACAATAAGTATATATTATAAATCAAAACTTTGCAACCTATACTACACTAAATAATTAATGCGTTATAACATTGTTGACCATCGGTCATCTAAGTGTATTTTGGAGCAATGACGTAATATCCATGACGTCATTGTGACATTATAATTATGGCACAAGTAAATTGAGTTTTCTTTCTCTGAAAAAAAACCCGTCTTCCAGCGGCAAACGACAACGTTGGTTTTTATATTTGCATGCACGCACATGACACTGATGCTGACGATTTAAAGATCGACATAAGAGCTGGAAACACAAGATAATTGAACAACAAGACCGGGCCGCCCTTTTTTTGGCATTGTAACTTACCAGACTAACATAATATAAAACACTTTATTAACCGCATATCCGACATATTCGTCAGGCTGTGTGTTGAAAAGTACTTTAGAAAGTTTCGCACATTACGTATGTTCGAATAGTAATGTTTATGTGTTTACCCTCTCAGTCCGAAACGGGAAATCGGTCCACCCATGACAGAATCATGGCCCAAGAGAACGCACAGTTAGGACTCGCTAAATATCAAAAGAATATTGAGATTTGGAGTTATGAAAATTTAGAAAAACACTAATTTTAAACATGGAACTCAACAGAAATTCCCTAACATTGTCGATAAAATACACACTGCCAATGCCTACAGTTTCTTATCTAAATTGAGTTCCTTTTACCCAAATGGTGTTTGACTGATAAGCGACAAATACTTTACTTTAATTTGATAAACAAAATTTCGTATTTATTAGTTTTCGATAATTGAAATTTAACCATGTTTTTAACTCCTTTTGATGTTTCAAAGTGTTCTTTATTATTGCTAGCTGAGTTCCTGTCGTGAAGGAGGAAAGGTTTAATTCCATTTTTTACAAACATATATTTCGTGAACTTCGACTGTTTTATTTGTGTGAACACCGCAGGAAAAATATTTTACAAACATTTTAGAATGAAATCGTGTCATTAAACATTATATGGTGCATTATTGACGGACAATTTCAGTCGGCTTCACATAGTTGATAGACGAAATATTTAATTCAAATTTTAAGTAAAGCTATTTTAAAACTGAATTTACGATTAATTAATTGCATGTCATTTAGTTCAGCGACCAATATTTTATACTTATAATATAAAAATAAGGGAATGTGGTATAACTGCAAATGAGACAACAATAAACCAAAGTTGAAAAGAAGTGGATGTCAGCAGTATTGCAGGCAACCGTACGGCCTTCAACGATGAGAAAAACAATACCACTAGTCGCCTATAGAAGGCCCCGAAATGAAAAATGTGAAATAATTCAATTGAGAAAATTAATGACCTAATTCATAATACTACATAAGGTCTTATTAAATATAGACTAGACTGTAGTGAAAAACCTCATCTCTAATACTATATGGCTTATTCATACTCCTGTTCAAGTATAACACACAACTTTGTAATCATTTATTGAAAAAAAAATGAAAGTTACTGAATGTTTTTGACATTATTTTGGTATTTTTAGACATGCATGCACGATCTGTATCCAGCTTGAAATTTTAAAGCCTGAGGGACCAGTATTTTTTATTTGAAGTCTGACTTTTCCGGATTTAACAGAAGCTAGGGATTTGAATTTCACTAAACAGATACCACAGACCCGGTCATGAAATATTCATAAATAAATTATAGAGAATAAACTGATGAAACAATATGTTCTCCGAGTGTTCGAAATTAATTTTTGTAATTTAACTTAAAAGGATCTTGTCGATAATCGTACTTCTCTGTGCGATGATTCACATTAAAAAATACAAAATGAACACCCAATGTCTATGCATTCGTTAGAAGAGAACACGAAAAGATATATAAGAGGAGACACCCTCTACTGGCACAATTTTTTTTTACACAAAACCAGCAGCGGTTATTACGGCCTCTAAAATCTGGAACTATGTTTAACCTTTTGATTCGGTCAATGATGTAAAATATACCATTTAGAAATGATATAAGTTGTTTTGCAGGTGAAGAATACAAGGAGTATGGGTACTAAAATTATTTTCGATAATAGTTACGCACGGGCAATGTACGGGCAATACTTTCTTTCATACTGTTTTTTATTTGCTGTATGTTTTTGAAATTGAGGTTGTTCTACAGAAATTTACACAAAAGGAATCTTGTTACCTTCAATACCCCATCTCCAAGATAAAAAGAAGTGGTTTAGGCCTACATCAAAAGACACAATAAATTAAAAAAAATCATGACAAACAGAGGTTGACAAACATTCAATACGCAATCACATCTATATAACTTCATATATTTAATAGTCCCGTGTCGAGACAAGTTAAGATAAATTTAAGCCCGTCTTCTGAATTTATCCCTAAACATTAAATGCAAGAAAAAAATGTTCTTACATGTAATATAAAAAAAAGACCACTGCTCACATGGTTTATGTATAGAGACAGCACAGGACAATGTTGCTAGGTTAAAATATCACGACATTACTCGCCTTCTTTTTTATTGGTAATTGTTAAATCAAAATGTTACTTATAGAAAAATAAAAGTTCTTGAACATGGGGAAAACGATTATAACTGACCTTTCATTAACCTTTTAGAAGAAATTATGTACAACTCCTTTTTATACAGTGGCCGAGAAGTATTTTTCACGAACAACTTTTGGTTATATATTACATTTTTTTAAATATAAATTTTATAAAGTTATTTCTAATTGGATTTCAATCAACTAATAGAAAAAAATTATCACAAATCTAATATGTTTATAAGTAATATTTATCCTTGGACAATTATCTTTTACTGGTGATATAAACAATAATTTTTCATCCCGAAGTTTGTCATATATTTTACCCAAATTAGTTTGCAAAATATTAATATCAATGTTCACATCAGTAGAAAACAAAAACAATCGAAGATAAAACCCTAAAATATCTTTTTAAAAACTGTTATGATATGAAAATATATAGCCAAAATTGTAGGTGGCAAATACGTATTGCATAATACTTTACAATATTCCCTTGCAATTAAAAAAAGAACTTTTAATAATTGGTCTTGCGTTTTAGAGAATTATATCAGTCGAAAATTTAAATGGTTAAAGTAATTAACACGTAAATTGCACAAATTCAACAGTATTTTCAAAAATTTATCAGTTAACTTTACATTCTTGAGTCTCCTTGGTCCATCAAGAAGCAAATTTGTATAGAAAGATTTTAATCGGTCAATTTAGCATTATCAAAATGATCTCCTGGTCACCGCTATTGTGAATGCCGGTCGCGTAGAAAAAACAACTTTGTAAATCAATATGAGAAAAAAAAAAACGCCAAAAAGACGACGCCAAAAGAATTTGGTACTGGCGACGTCAAATTGTCATTGCCCATTGGCAACGTCGAAACGTTGATTTTTTTAATGTGGCATCAAGAGGGTTAATTTGCATGTATGATGCTGTGTGTGGTATGTTTCAATGTCAATACACTCTGTAAGATGTGTACAAACTAAATTATGATGTCATAATGCAATGACGTCACAAAAACAATGACGTCACAATGTACTCTTCACCATTTTTCCCACTTTCAACACACATACAAAAAAACCTCTAAAATTCTTATTACTTGATGGATTTTGAAAACAAGACTAGTTTTGGAAAGGCCTGTGACTAATCTTTACAGTAATGAACATATATTAGAGATATTTATTCAATAAAAAAAAAATATAATAGAAAACAAGACTATCAGGGTGGAAAAATTTCTTAAATCTGATAGTTTTTAAGTGAAAAACACTATATTTACATGATTTATCAACAAAATATGAGGATTTGTAGAAAGTCTGTAAGGTAGAAGAGGCTTATGAATTGCAGTTATACCAATAAAAGTTAAAACAAATGTTTAAAATGTAAATTTATAACATATGCTTATTGTGTTTTTTTCTTCCTTAAAAAGGACATAGAACAGTTATAAACATTGCTACCTAAAAGTATTAAAATGAGCTTATTTTATTTCAGATATGGCTAAAACTTCACAGAATTGTTAAGAAATGTGTACTAAAGGGATACAAACTGCAATATAAGTGGAATCTGACATTAGCTGATCTAATATGGGTCAATATCCCTAATGGACCTTGAGATGAGGAACACAGATTTATGACTCTCATTAAAAATTTAGTCCGCCATACAATTGTAGAAGCTGTGATTTAAAAAATTGACATAAATGAACTAGGACTGGTGTTTTATAGCGCTGATGTGATGTGAAAAAAAGTATAAAAAAATAAACCTGAACAAATAATTACAAAGGATATATTTTTTAATGATTTTTATGGTCAGAATTTTGTGATTATTTCCTGAGGAGAGTGACATTTTTCACTATCTTTCGGGGTTGGGCACTTGACGGGAAAACGAATCACACTTGCCACCCCGAAAATCGCACCACACATGTGCAAGTGTCTCAGCTTCAAAATGAGCCATCATACATATCCAAGTTTACGATATGGCCTGAGCAACAGAAGAAAACGTTAACATTACCGCCTATGGAGAATCTATTACGCATATTGCCCCAATTTGTGGCCTTGAATTTCAAAGGTGATGGAGTGTTTCATGGCTCAGTGACCACAATTTAGGATGATAGCTGCTGAAATCAAGGTCAGTTACACTCTTTTAGTGCTAATTAATCAAAACAATACAAAATGGCTTCCCAAACTTTTGATTTTTATCAAAAATATACTAATTTTTTGTTGTTAAATAGCATTGATGCAGAAAATGGGTCATGTAAAATCTGGACAGGGGCCATTCAGAGGAAAAGAAATTATATTTTAGGGATGCTAAATGTGGCTTATCCAAATGGAAAAATGACAAAAATGAATGTTGCACGCTTGGCAAAAATGTTACAGTTAAAAACAGTTGACATTGATAGAAATTTAGATGCCTAGCTCGCACCTCTGCCATAATGCCTTGTGCTTTAATGCTGACCATATAATTTTTGAGCCCCATGATTTAAATAACCACCGTAAGGTCTGTGTAACTTCACAAAAATGCACCACTCATGAACTGCATGGCACAACATATCCTAACTGCTTGTTGCATCTTAAACTGTGGTTTGTTCTATTTTTAATTCTAAAATTTAAGTCTCCGAGGTAACATATTGCACACTTCACTATGCATGAATCATTTACTCAAATACAAGTTTCTTACACTGCTAAAAAAATGAAAATGGGATAAAAGCCCTCCCTCTCACCCTCCAAGACACTGAAACAAACATGCATGTTTATATTAACCTGAGGTAACACATTTTACGGCTTGTTTCACGAGTGTTTACCTTTTATTGACATAGGAGGGGTAGTAACTCTTGTTGTTTACAAATGTATTTTTAACTGTGTCAGGAAATTGGGACATTCAAACCACATGAACCAACTAAAGACTAAAGTAAGCATGCTTTAAAAGAAATCTTCAAAATAAAAACCAAACAAATCAAACAAAAACTACAAAATTATAAAATTAGGATATCAAAAGTAAAATTAAAAGCTAACAGAACTGAAATAGTTGCAAATGGAAGTAAAATTGGACATGATTTTATTTTATTTTATTTCCTTGTATGTTGTATCAATGAATGTGTGCATGATAGGAAAAATAATTTTTTATGCAATACATGTGTGTTAACCCTCTTAATGCCAAAGCGACATATATGTCGTTTCAGTGTTGATGCCAAAGCGACATATAAGTCGTTTGGGGGTTTGATGCCAAGGCGACATATATGTCGTTTCAGCAATATTACAATAAGTATATATTATAAATCAAAACTTTGCAACCTATACTACACTAAATAATTAATGCGTTATAACATTGTTGACCATCGGTCATCTAAGTGTATTTTGGAGCAATGACGTAATATCCATGACGTCATTGTGACATTATAATTATGGCACAAGTAAATTGTCTTTTCTTTCTCTGAAAAAAAACCCGTCTTCCAGCGGCAAACGACAACGTTGGTTTTTATATTTGCATGCACGCACATGACACTGATGCTGACGATTTAAAGATCGACATAAGAGCTGGAAACACAAGATAATTGAACAACAAGACCGGGCCGCCCTTTTTTTGGCATTGTAACTTACCAGACTAACATAATATAAAACACTTTATTAACCGCATATCCGACATATTCGTCAGGCTGTGTGTTGAAAAGTACTTTAGAAAGTTTCGCACATTACGTATGTTCGAATAGTAATGTTTATGTGTTTACCCTCTCAGTCCGAAACGGGAAATCGGTCCACCCATGACAGAATCATGGCCCAAGAGAACGCACAGTTAGGACTCGCTAAATATCAAAAGAATATTGAGATTTGGAGTTATGAAAATTTAGAAAAACACTAATTTTAAACATGGAACTCAACAGAAATTCCCTAACATTGTCGATAAAATACACACTGCCAATGCCTACAGTTTCTTATCTAAATTGAGTTCCTTTTACCCAAATGGTGTTTGACTGATAAGCGACAAATACTTTACTTTAATTTGATAAACAAAATTTCGTATTTATTAGTTTTCGATAATTGAAATTTAACCATGTTTTTAACTCCTTTTGATGTTTTAAAGTGTTCTTTATTATTGCTAGCTGAGTTCCTGTCGTGAAGGAGGAAAGGTTTAATTCCATTTTTTACAAACATATATTTCGTGAACTTCGACTGTTTTATTTGTGTGAACACCGCAGGAAAAATATTTTACAAACATTTTAGAATGAAATCGTGTCATTAAACATTATATGGTGCATTATTGACGGACAATTTCAGTCGGCTTCACATAGTTGATAGACGAAATATTTAATTCAAATTTTAAGTAAAGCTATTTTAAAACTGAATTTACGATTAATTAATTGCATGTCATTTAGTTCAGCGACCAATATTTTATACTTATAATATAAAAATAAGGGAATGTGGTATAACTGCAAATGAGACAACAATAAACCAAAGTTGAAAAGAAGTGGATGTCAGCAGTATTGCAGGCAACCGTACGGCCTTCAACGATGAGAAAAACAATACCACTAGTCGCCTATAGAAGGCCCCGAAATGAAAAATGTGAAATAATTCAATTGAGAAAATTAATGACCTAATTCATAATACTACATAAGGTCTTATTAAATATAGACTAGACTGTAGTGAAAAACCTCATCTCTAATACTATATGGCTTATTCATACTCCTGTTCAAGTATAACACACAACTTTGTAATCATTTATTGAAAAAAAAATGAAAGTTACTGAATGTTTTTGACATTATTTTGGTATTTTTAGACATGCATGCACGATCTGTATCCAGCTTGAAATTTTAAAGCCTGAGGGACCAGTATTTTTTATTTGAAGTCTGACTTTTCCGGATTTAACAGAAGCTAGGGATTTGAATTTCACTAAACAGATACCACAGACCTGGTCATGAAATATTCATAAATAAATTATAGAGAATAAACTGATGAAACAATATGTTCTCCGAGTGTTCGAAATTAATTTTTGTAATTTAACTTAAAAGGATCTTGTCGATAATCGTACTTCTCTGTGCGATGATTCACATTAAAAAATACAAAATGAACACCCAATGTCTATGCATTCGTTAGAAGAGAACACGAAAAGATATATAAGAGGAGACACCCTCTACTGGCACAATTTTTTTTTACACAAAACCAGCAGCGGTTATTACGGCCTCTAAAATCTGGAACTATGTTTAACCTTTTGATTCGGTCAATGATGTAAAATATACCATTTAGAAATGATATAAGTTGTTTTGCAGGTGGAGAATACAAGGAGTATGGGTACTAAAATTATTTTCGATAATAGTTACGCACGGGCAATGTACGGGCAATACTTTCTTTCATACTGTTTTTTATTTGCTGTATGTTTTTGAAATTGAGGTTGTTCTACAGAAATTTACACAAAAGGAATCTTGTTACCTTCAATACCCCATCTCCAAGATAAAAAGAAGTGGTTTAGGCCTACATCAAAAGACACAATAAATTAAAAAAAATCATGACAAACAGAGGTTGACAAACATTCAATACGCAATCACATCTATATAACTTCATATATTTAATAGTCCCGTGTCGAGACAAGTTAAGATAAATTTAAGCCCGTCTTCTGAATTTATCCCTAAACATTAAATGCAAGAAAAAAATGTTCTTACATGTAATATAAAAAAAAGACCACTGCTCACATGGTTTATGTATAGAGACAGCACAGGACAATGTTGCTAGGTTAAAATATCACGACATTACTCGCCTTCTTTTTTATTGGTAATTGTTAAATCAAAATGTTACTTATAGAAAAATAAAAGTTCTTGAACATGGGGAAAACGATTATAACTGACCTTTCATTAACCTTTTAGAAGAAATTATGTACAACTCCTTTTTATACAGTGGCCGAGAAGTATTTTTCACGAACAACTTTTGGTTATATATTACATTTTTTTAAATATAAATTTTATAAAGTTATTTCTAATTGGATTTCAATCAACTAATAGAAAAAAATTATCACAAATCTAATATGTTTATAAGTAATATTTATCCTTGGACAATTATCTTTTACTGGTGATATAAACAATAATTTTTCATCCCGAAGTTTGTCATATATTTTACCCAAATTAGTTTGCAAAATATTAATATCAATGTTCACATCAGTAGAAAACAAAAACAATCGAAGATAAAACCCTAAAATATCTTTTTAAAAACTGTTATGATATGAAAATATATAGCCAAAATTGTAGGTGGCAAATACGTATTGCATAATACTTTACAATATTCCCTTGCAATTAAAAAAAGAACTTTTAATAATTGGTCTTGCGTTTTAGAGAATTATATCAGTCGAAAATTTAAATGGTTAAAGTAATTAACACGTAAATTGCACAAATTCAACAGTATTTTCAAAAATTTATCAGTTAACTTTACATTCTTGAGTCTCCTTGGTCCATCAAGAAGCAAATTTGTATAGAAAGATTTTAATCGGTCAATTTAGCATTATCAAAATGATCTCCTGGTCACCGCTATTGTGAATGCCGGTCGCGTAGAAAAAACAACTTTATAAATCAATATGAGAAAAAAAAAAAAACGCCAAAAAGACGACGCCAAAAGAATTTGGTACTAGCGACGTCAAATTGTCATTGCCCATTGGCAACGTCGAAACGTTGATTTTTTTAATGTGGCATCAAGAGGGTTAATTTGCATGTATGATGCTGTGTGTGGTATGTTTCAATGTCAATACACTCTGTAAGATGTGTACAAACTAAATTATGATGTCATAATGCAATGACGTCACAAAAACAATGACGTCACAATGTACTCTTCACCATTTTTCCCACTTTCAACACACATACAAAAAAACCTCTAAAATTCTTATTACTTGATGGATTTTGAAAACAAGACTAGTTTTGGAAAGGCCTGTGACTAATCTTTACAGTAATGAACATATATTAGAGATATTTATTCAATAAAAAAAAAATATAATAGAAAACAAGACTATCAGGGTGGAAAAATTTCTTAAATCTGATAGTTTTTAAGTGAAAAACACTATATTTACATGATTTATCAACAAAATATGAGGATTTGTAGAAAGTCTGTAAGGTAGAAGAGGCTTATGAATTGCAGTTATACCAATAAAAGTTAAAACAAATGTTTAAAATGTAAATTTATAACATATGCTTATTGTGTTTTTTTCTTCCTTAAAAAGGACATAGAACAGTTATAAACATTGCTACCTAAAAGTATTAAAATGAGCTTATTTTATTTCAGATATGGCTAAAACTTCACAGAATTGTTAAGAAATGTGTACTAAAGGGATACAAACTGCAATATAAGTGGAATCTGACATTAGCTGATCTAATATGGGTCAATATCCCTAATGGACCTTGAGATGAGGAACACAGATTTATGACTCTCATTAAAAATTTAGTCCGCCATACAATAGGGATCATTCGTAATATTTCTTCCTGTAGACGTCGCTGGTGTTCCATAAGTGGTTGTCGGAAACGTTTTAATCACTTGGACGCTTGAATCGCATTACGTTGCACATGTTTACATTAGTAACCACAAATTATCGACACTCGCTAATTTCACCAACCTAAGCTTCAAAATTGTTGTGTCCCCGGCTGCAATTATTCTGAAGGGGGACCACAGATTCCCAAAAGACAATGAAATTCTTTTGAAATGGAGAGAAGGCATCAAGAGAGTTGATCCACCCATCAAAAATATCTAGCCTTCTAGGGAAACCCGGCGGAAAGTCGACCAAGTTTGCCATAACCAGCTGATAACCATGTCATGCCAGGAGATTATATAACAACAGGATTAGGTTATTATGTATTTATATTTTTTTTTATATTTAGTACATTATTAAACCTCTTTGTTTCATTTTTTCTCGATTAAACAGCCCAATAATTTGACAGGTTATTATTTATTAAAATAGGGGGATGACACAGGGATGTATTTTATTCTTCAAATACACCCTCACACTTTGCAAGTTTTTTCCTAGTCTTCACACTTTGTAAGTTTTTTCCTAGTTCTCACACTTTGTAAGTTTTTTCCTAGTCTTCACACTTTGTAAGTTTTTTCCTAGTCTTCACACTTTGTAAGTTTTTTCCTAGTCTTCACACTTTGTAAGTTTTTTCCTAGTCCTCACACTTTGTAAGTTTTTTCCTAGTCCTCCCACTTTGTAAGCTTTTTCCTAGTCCTCACACTTCGTAAGTTTTTTACTAGTCTTCACATTTTTTCACCCTTTTACCTTTGTTTGCATTGTAAATAAGAAATAATAATTATGTTGTGCACTTAATTATAGCAAGTGAAATATATTTCCCTGACAAAACAATGCATGAAAGGAAGAGAACTACATATATTGGGAAATATGACAATCCCTATATTGCATTCTAAAAAAAACCATGGTACACATGAGCATAATTTTTTTATTTGTTTGTCGCAATAAAGTCTGAATTTTCTAAGGACTTTACATTAAACTTATGGCAAAAGCTGTGTGAACAATTTTTTTTAATTCTTCAAAGTTGGAAATCAAAGAGTATTTTTGTGAGAAAAAAAACATCACACACATACCCGCATTAAACGCTTGTCCTTTATGAATGATAAGAAAAATTTCTGAACCTGCAGTTTATTAAATAACATGATGCTTTGTGGTTTCCTGTTTTAATATTTCAGAAGCCATCATGGATAACAGACTTTTTACCCAACCATGAAGTGATGGATGGGATACATCTTTATGTTTAAAATGAATTCATGGTTAAAATCCAAGTGGCTGCAAGTGCGAGGATCAATACTTCTGTCAGAACCAGATGTAAAAAAAAAATTTGACAAAGGTGACAACAAATGGCAAATAGTGGAATTATGAAACAGGATTTATTTACTAGCCAAGACAGTTCGATCCTTATATTAACACACAAACTTTTCTGAAAGGGAAATTCCAACTAGATCAGAAGAAAGTAGTTTGTGATAGAAAAGTGTCATCCAACCGAATTCACATTAAAAGAGTCCTTGTATTGTCTAAAAGTTACACAAGGGTAAAACTTAATGCCCCTCCTTCGCTGTGGCAGGGGAATAAAAAATCTGAAACATGTAATTCCACGTGGAAACTTCTAATTCAACTTGGTTCCAGAATTATCTATGTTTGCTGTGTTCTTTCTAATCTCATAAAAATACATTGTAAATAAATATGCATAAAAGATGAAATGGATTTACATGCAATTGATTTTATTATTTGTTCTAATGTGGTGCTGTTTCACCACTGCTTTCCCAGTTAGCACCAAAAAAAAATAGAAAATGTTGAAAAAATATTGTAGAAAAATATCAAACTCATGCAAAAATGTATGGCGTTAAAAATATTTTCAAAACATTTTCATGATACTTTTCAAACATCATTAAAATGTTACTGAATTTTGATGACAATGTTTGTAAAATGTCTTATAAATGATTTGAATGTGTTTGTTAATCAAATATCCCTGAAACATTTTAAAAACATATAAAAATTCATTTCTGCAGGATAAAATGTTTTGAAAAAGTTCAAAAAATATTTTTTAACAAAATGTTTTAATCATCTTCATATTCTCAAAAAATCGTTAAAAAAAATCATTTAAATGTTATACGAAATATCATTATAAAAATGTTTTCTAACATAATCTTTCAAGTCCTTTTATAAAATATTCAGAATATAATTGAGAATGGAAATGGGGAATGTGTCAAAGAGACAACAACCCGACCATAGAGCAGACAACAGCCGAAGGCCACCAATGGGTCTTCAATGCAGCGAGAAACTCCCGCATCCGGAGGCGTCCTTTAGCTGGCCCCTAAACAAATATGTATATTAGTTCAGTGATAATGGACGTCATACTAAACTCCAAATTTTACACAAGAAACTAAAATTAAAAATGATACAAGACTAACAAAGGCCAGAGGCTCCTGACTTGGGACAGGCGCAAAAATGCGGCGGAGTTAAACATGTTTTTTGAGATCTCCCCCCTCCCCCCATACCTCTAGCCAATGTAGAAAAAACAAACGTACAACAGTACGCATAAACAATGTTTAATATCAGAGACAGATTTAGGAGTGGGGTGCCTTTATGGCCCTTATGGAGCTACATTTATGGTTAATCCAGATTTTTTTATTACTCTCAAAACTTTGTCTAGTTTGGGGTATGATGACCCCTTTCTATGCCCCCGCAACTGAAAGTTGGGGGGAGGGGGCATATTATTTTACCCCGGTCTGTCCTTCTGTCTGTCTGTCCGTCCGTCCCATTATGGGTATATAGTTATTCAGCATAACTCCTCCTACAGTTAGAATCCTAGGAAGTTTTCACTTTGCTGTCTGTTTGTACATATATTGAAGATGTGCATGTGGTCAGGGTTTTGATTTTTATTAATATTTGCTCTTTTGGGAGATACAATGTAGTTGAACTTTGTCATTTTTGGGGTATAAGCGGTTAAATGTTATAGTTATTTTAAAATAACACTTTGCATCTACGGGGGCATCAATTGTGTCTCCCAGACACAATAATATCTCAAAGAAAGTCCTACATTGACTTTGTTTTAATACAGTTACTTCAGAGTGGATTGGGGGGGATCACTTTATTTAGATTCAAAATCCTGGATCAACATTTGAGAAAACAACTGCCGTCATACTGATCTTTATCCCACATCTCCTTTTACATTTGTCTGCATGCTGTTGATGCCGGCTTAATCTACATATATTTTGGCTATTTTTGTCGGGTTGATGTCTCATTGACAAACCCCAATATTTCCTGTCTTAGATATCAATTTTATTGAATAGTCCATTTTTTTGTATTTTGCACTGAACACATATGAAAAAGAAGATGTGGTATGATTGCCAATGAGACAACTCTCCACAAGAGACCAAATGACACAGAAATAATTACAACTATAGGTCACCGTACAGCCTACAACAATGAGCAAAGCCCATACCACATAATTTGTTTCACTTGCATAGAGGTATTAATTTTTTCAGATTATAAATATCCTCATGCATTTCATTTGGTCCAGCATTGAACAAATTTTTTTCTTAGAAGTGTTTTTTTATCTTTTGTTTGATCATGTGTAGCATCTGTCATTTTCTGTCTGAACAGCTTTTCGATGGTTTTTTTTGCTGTCTTGGTCAACAATACACAAGATAACAACAATAAGAAATGCAAAAATTTTATTTAATTTTGTCATTTCACTGTTCTTTTTCATTTTTTCTTTTGTTCCATTCTTTTTATTTCTCTTGACTTCTGCTGGCTTCTGTAAAGAAAATGTTAACAAATTAGTCCTGTTGTTTAGTGAGTAAACTAGTGGAGATAATTTAAATTTCACCAAATTACACAAGAAAATTTTATTTTAATCCAGTCTGGTTTCATAAAAATTTATATTGAAAAGCGACATCTAATCAGTGTGGCTGGATTCGGAAGGAATATTCATAGCTATTAGATATGCACGTACATCTGTGGAGTTTCAGGTGTATTATTATCATACGAGTCTGTAACGGTAGAGTTCACCAGTACTAAAATAAAACTGTACAGTACCATTTTCCCAACTGAGATTAGGTCCTGTAACCTTTACTTGGTCTTAACACAAATACATTTTTGTGATATAGATTGAGGCTATAAAAGGATAAATACCTTCACACAATCTGCTCCTCCAGAATGTTTTGAACGTAAGCTTATACATTTTGGCTCCTCTAATTGATTCTACAAAAGATAAAAAAAAAGACAAAATATCAAATAAAATACAGTCAAGAAAAAATCACATTGTACAAGTCAGCTACAAAGGTCACAACATTCAAAAATGAAAGAAAATTCAAACAAGAAAACTAATGGCTTGATTTTAAATTATAAAATAAGACAATAAAAAAACAAATATATATGTATATATATCAGAAATTAACCAACTATAACTACTAGATTAAAGGCTCCTGACTAGGATTGACACATTAACAATTATCTATACTTACAAAAAATGTATCTGGCCTGGCCTGAAGGGCTAGCGATTAATCACAGGCACTTGTCTCAGAAAAAATTTCCTATATGCCTTAATATAACACGTGTTATATATTGAGGTATATAGGAAATTTTTTTCTGAGACAAGTGCCTGTGCGATTAATCATGAAAACTGTATAATGAATATATTGTCTTTCATGGTTACAAATATCTATCAGTAGAAAATGTTATCTATCAGTAGAAAATGTCTGCAATATTTCACTATTTTATATTACTTTACTAACTAATACATTGTTGATGACGCTGAAAACAGCATACCTAATATATGCTATGTCTTGCTTTTGGACTCTGTCAAGGCAAGACAAAAAGGAAAGAAATCAATGATTCAAGTTCAAATATATTGATGGATTGTTGGAATCTTAATGTCCAGTGACAAATATTTAATGCATGTTCCAGCCAAAGTTTAATTAAACAAGCTAAGGAATGGTTTGAATTTTTTTAAAACATGTAGGTAAAGATTTTTTAAAGTACTATTACATAGATTAAAATGTTAGGATTACAAAGGAGGTTTCTGCTTGCCATGAAATATTTGAAAAACAAGATATCAAGTGGATTTAATGGTATAACTAATAAAATTTTGAAAAATTCTTGTATGCTGAATGTTGGGCATGATATGTATATAAAATTATGAAACACTACTTTTTTCTTAAAAATTAATAAAATTTTCTCTCTAGCAAGAAGTTCTTATTGGAGAGAAAATTTATTTAACCCATATTCAAAGGAAGATGTTTTAATAGCCCTTCAAACCATAGAGGTATAACCCTTTTTACTAGTTTAGGAACATTTTTTTCTAGAGAATAATAGTTTAGAAAACTATTTAGAATCATATAAGATTATCTGCCAAGAACAGATAGGATTCAAAAAAGGACGTAGAACTATAGGGACCACATTTCTAAGTTTAAAAAATATTTAGTTGGGTTAGTTTTCATAATTATTTTCTAATCAATTTTGAAGAATTTGAAATTATTCCATATTTAAATAATTCCTTGTTTGAACTTGAATTACAAATAAAACTTCATTATAGATGTATATATCTTTAAAATTTCCAAAAATGGCCCCATCATGTTATATGTAAAAAGTTTGCAGAGAAGGGCCTTTATATTTTTTTTACAGTGTCTTTTTTTTAAGTTGATGAAGCTGAGACATATTAAAAGATTTAAAGCTTAAAAATGTAGAATCATGTCTTGTTTAAAAGTGGTATTGGGAGGATTTAATACTTTCCTTGTGTAATTGTCCCATTTTCAAAAGTAATAAATTGTTTATATATAACTGGGACTATAATACTATTAGTATAATAGTCCCAGTGTATAACAAGTTAAATTTAATTTTCCCTTGCCCAGTCTGCATGGTTTATATCACATTTCATGGCCAACAGATAATATCTGTATAGAACCCCTATTTTTAATTATTATTATACAAAATCATTTAAATGTATCCTAGAAAGTTTAATTATACATTCATGACTATTTATAAGTTCAGTGGGTTTTTTGTTGTTGTTTTTTTTCTAACTTGGGGTACATGTATTTGTCACTTGGTATTTCACTAAATATTTCATATAAAATTGCATTTCAAAAGATTATTTAGGGGACATTTCTGATTTGATTTTATGCAACTTGGTACCAACAGCAGAATAATTATTTGTTTATTTTCATTTTCTTCTGAGATAAACATAAATATTATTGTCTATTATAAACAATCTTGCTATATATTTATATTTCAACCAAATTGAATTGTAAAAAATAGTACATGTGTTCACATCAGGAGAAAATAAAAACAACTGATGACAGAGCTATGACAAAACAATCAAATACTCTTTATATACAATTCAGCGTTTTTCAACACATTATTTGTAAAAATACAACCATAAATGCCTCCAATAAACGTGTTTTTATATGAAATATATAGCCCAAAAATGTAGGTACCGAAATCTTTTTGGCCATGTACTGTAGCGGCGTTTCCGCTTTATATAATAGAAGAAATCTCAATATTTTTTTAAATACATCGTTTACCTTTCTATAAGATCTATAGTTCTGTCTCTTGTGACAGCTCCATGTAACGTTAGTTCTGGAACAGACCAGGTGATGTAATCATCGGATGCCATTGTTTACGTTGTAAATACAGATGCAAGCGTTTTACGTGATTGAAGCGTTCAAGTAACCACTTATGGAACCGCAGCGCCGCCACGCGTGAAAAGTCGTGAATGATTCCTATTGTAGAAGCTGTGATTTAAAAAATTGACATAAATGAACTAGGACTGGTGTTTTATAGCGCTGATGTGATGTGAAAAAAAGTATAAAAAAATAAACCTGAACAAATAATTACAAAGGATATATTTTTTAATGATTTTTATGGTCAGAATTTTGTGATTATTTCCTGAGGAGAGTGACATTTTTCACTATCTTTCGGGGTTGGGCACTTGACGGGAAAACGAATCACACTTGCCACCCCGAAAATCGCACCACACATGTGCAAGTGTCTCAGCTTCAAAATGAGCCATCATACATATCCAAGTTTACGATATGGCCTGAGCAACAGAAGAAAACGTTAACATTACCGCCTATGGAGAATCTATTACGCATATTGCCCCATCTGTGAACCATTGAAGATATAAAAAGAAAAGGAAAAGAGAATGGACCCTATCAAAAAGGAAGATGATGATGGATGGCTGCTCAACGTCCAGCGGCAAATTACTATGCATATTCAGGGCGAGAACATGTAATATGAATATTAACCCTACTAGACCGACACGCTGAGCCGGCTTTTTGACGTGCTAATTCACAAGGTAACAGTCTACAGGAAGACATGCCACCTTACTCGGGCACATTATTCTGACTCCGAACCGACCAGTCCTTGCTCTTACTCCTTAATGCCACGTGCTTAGCGTAGAAGCAGCAAATACCAATTTTAAAATTCTTTGGTTTGACCCAGCCGGGGTTCGAACCCACGACCTCCCGCACTCGAGGCGAACACGCTACCACGAGATCTCCGAGGCGGTCAAAAAGGAAGAACAAAAATAATTAAGACCTTTATTTGGAATGGTTGTTATTTTTTTTAGCTTTACATATATTGATATGTCTCAGTATAAACCTGGAAAAACTTATAGAAAAACTAAAAGCATCATTATGATATATCATTTAGATTTTCTGCAGACGAAGAGAATTTGTTTTCGGGTGTTACTAAGTACGGGGTAAAAATCATAAGTCGACGAAAGAAAGAAAACAGCAGGGCAAATTAAGACAACAGGACATATATTATGGGTTTTGCTCATTGTCGAAGGCCGATTGGTGACCTATAGCTGTTAACTTCTATGTTATGTCATTTGCTCTCTGGTGGAGAGTTGTCTCATAGTCAATCATACCACATCTTCTTATTTTCATATTAAATGTTTTACAAAACACGGAACGAAATAAATTAAAAAAAAATAAAAACGGGAGTTCCAGTTGAGTCAGAACTTCAACGTTGAATAAGAAATAAATTAAACTGTTTGATTTTTTTTTTTAATTATACTGTAGTAAACCATGTAAATGTCGTACATAATTCTTCTGAAGTTTTTAAAATAGAAATACATGAAAACAATTGGTCGTCTATCGTCTATGTGTGTGTGTGGGGGGGGGGGGGGGGGGGGGGTTTAAAGCAGATTCGTAAAAGTGAATTTGAAATACTGCAGTATTCATTTTTATTTAAAAATTTCACTTGGATCATACACTGTATAGTGCAGACAATCTGAAGTACACTCTTGATTTTTACCGACATCATGTTGCTTATTTCCGAAAGATGTCTTATTTTTCCGTTATTTATTTGACCCGTCTACATTTTTTTATTTTCAGGAAAGTACTTCCAGTGACACAACTCGTTCTTCATCACTACAGGAAGTGTAGAAAAGAATATTGGTTTTCCAAAAATATGAATACAAATAAAAGAAATTCACTGTACTACAATAATGCTACAGATGACAAGTGTTTCGGGTTCAGGTCCTTTTACGAGAAGGAAATGGAACTTATGGGAAAAATAAAAACAAGCGTTTTAGAATTACAAAGAAAACTGCTATTATGAAAAAAAAAGTAACATGTACGACCAATTGCAATTTCAGCTTTTAATTATTGTCAATAAAACAAATCTTAATAATTAGGTATAATTACGTACCTGCTACACGTGATCTCCGTTATGTTGTTGACTGCTGACAGTTTTGATAAAATTCATTCAATTCAATTTCTTCTTTGAACCAGCATTCAGTAACTGCGATCATTCTTAGATCAGTGCTTTGTGTCTTTTGTCCTTAATTTCAGTTGTTGTATTTTTTTTTACTTCATGCTGTTCTCTCTCTTTACTTACATTTTAGTCCTTTGAGTCAGATTGATATTCCTGTTATATTTGAAGAATGTTATATCATATATGCACGTGCGTGTCAAGTATCTTATACCTTACAGCACACATTTGTAAAATTCTGAGGACCACGGTTATAATGTAAGCAATTGGAACAAAAACTTAAGACAGAATAATCGGAATATCTTAACATATGTAAATAGGTACATGTATCTTTATCTTACCTCCTATATACTTCTATGAATATCATTGGTTAAAAACTAACACGTGGAGACAGCAATGCCATGTTTTGTTCCTCTCTGCTAATTTTTTTCCGAAAATACGGGCTTTGGACTTTGATAAA